GCACGCCCTGCCAGCCTCCCTGGCCCTGCCACCCCAGCTGCCCTGCAAGGGAGCCCGGGGTTTGCCTTCCCTTGAGCCTGTCCTCCCTTTTCCATCCCCGTGTGGGAGCATGGAAGGTGCTTTCTTCTCGACTGCAAGCCCGTCTCCCGGGGCTTGTGCCGCAGCGCAGGCGGTCGGGGCTGCACAGTGCAGACTCGCCGAGTGCTGCTTTGCACCCCGCTGCTGGCTGGGTTAAGAGTCTCTCTTTGTCTTTAATTCCAAAATTACACCGTGAGTACAATTCAGTTGACCTCTCTGCTTCCCCCTCCGTGACTCTGTGAACACAACACATCGGGACATGCGTATCCTCTGGGTCTGTGCTGCTGAAAACAAACTCTGCTTTTTTTTTTTTTTTTTTTTTTTTTTTTTTTTCCCCCCCCCAAAAATCCCTCTTATCCTTTACGAGTTTAATGAGTGCAAGTCATCTTTTTAATGAAGCGAAGCTCGCACAGCCGGTGCCTGTGAAAAACCGCTTAAACATCCTCAAAGTGTTTGTGAGAACGTGGCAATAACAAAGTGCTCCGTGCGGCCGGAGAATGCCGCGGGAACAAAAGCCACATCAACAGAGCGGGGACTAGGGAATACTAAAGAGTTGACAGGAATTTTAATATAAAACTCTCTCCCTTCCTTGTCAGTTCGGGTTTTCAGGAAGCCCGCTGGCTTATCGTAAAGCGGCATACAGCCCAGGCAGGGGCTGGGGAGGTGAAAGGTGGCTTCCTGCCATTCTTCTCTGGAGCTGGGTTCCCATGGGCGGTCATGCCAGTTTGACTGTGGTTTGTTCCACACGCGTGCGATACGAGGAGATCGGGGTTACGGCTGCTTCGGGGGACTGGATTTTCATGGGCTAAAGGCGAGTTTAGGGTTTCCAGCCATGAACCGCTTCAATGGACTCTGCAAGGTGTGCTCGGAGCGGAGGTACAGGCAGGGCTGTTCCCCCGTGGGGAAAAGCCGCGTGCCAGCGCCTGTGTGCGCGCTGCTGCAAGTCTCGGTTGAGTTTTCGGGTGTCTGTGGGCTTTCTCACCATTTCTGGGCTCTGTGTGCGCTGTTTCTAGGGTGTTGATTTGCTGCTGTTATAGTTTGTAAATGAGAATATTGGGAATATAAGGAGAGCATCTTTGGATAGGTGTCCTGGCTGACCTCCGCCTGTTGCTGCGGTGTGAGTGGGGATCGGGGAGGGGGGGGCAGGCGAGTGATGACAGCGTTAAGCTGCAAGGTGTTCTCTCCAATTTACCACTCATTAGAGGAGAGGCAGGCATGGGAGGCAGCCAAGTCTCTGCCAGGTTGCTACCATCTCTTTTTTAAATTGTTTTAATGTGAATGTATTTGAGAATCAAGCGTTGCTTGAAGCCGGTTACAATCACCGGCGACTTGCTGCATGAGAAATAGATGGCTGTGCCCTGTAAAAGCTGCTGCAAGTCCTTTCAGACCTGCTCGGTGCGCAATGCCAGGCGCTGGTTTTGCTTGTGCAGGTCCCAGTCTGCTGTGCTTTCGAACAGAATTTTCCCTCCATGATCTGGTCTGGGGCTCCCGGCTCATCGTCAGCTTTTCTCTGCCCTCCTGTGCTGATCACGTTGTGCTAAAGCTGCCTCGGGGACGGTGTGTATCGGGAATTGCACAAAGAACCAGTTTAACTAAAAATGCCCGCTTCTTGTCAGGGCTGGCGTGACTGTCTCATGCAGGAATGATGCTCTGGTTTGTATTAATGACAACCAGCTGTGATTTGTGTCTTAGATTTCCTCAGTTCTCTATTTTGATGATTTCTTCTGTATTTTTTTGGCAAAGTTGTGGGTACAGTGAGCCTCCACAGTGCTGGAGTCTCTCACCACCTTGCCGCTCGCCTTCCAGCTTAGGTCAGATGCTCGTATTTCTTAGTTCTGTGCACAGCGGCAAAACCGACATTCAACTTGCAGTAATGGCCATGGTGGTGGGAGCTGAGGAAAGCGAGCCGTCAGCAGGGAGAAGCTTATATTTAGTGGCTCAGGGAAGGTGTCTCCACTGGTGGTGGAGAAGAGCCAGCCAGCTCGGGGAGAAGGAGTGGGAGAAGCTGTAGGCTGGGAAGTGACCGTGGAGGGAGAGATGCTGCGCTGGCTCCCGAGGTGCCAGTGGTAACGCTTCCGCAGGACTCGGATCCCCTCTGCTTCGTGTTTGAGAAGAGAGGTTGGTTCGAAGGTGCAGATCCATAAGCAGCCTGCTCCCCTGTTTGAAGATCCAGCAGACTCCAGAGAGAAAAATACTCAGCGTAGTGGGACTGGACCCACTTTTCGATCCTGCCAGGCAAAGACAGTTTCTCATTTGAAGACTGATTTCATGCTGAGCAATCAAGCAGGGGCAAGGTGCAGAGAACTGAAAGCGTTTGCCCTCCCGTGTTAAAGGTGCGAGGAACCAGTTCCCCTCCTTGGCAGCTTCTGCTGAATTCCTCATCTCTCTGGCTGTTTGTTCTCGAAATAATACAGGTCGGATGATGGATTTTTTTCTTTTCTTTTCTCTGTCAGTAAAACAAGGATCTTGACAAATGTCTTGGGGGTAATCAGGTATTTACAGGAACTGTCATGCTGAGCTGCTGCTGGAAGCCAGCATCAAAAAATGAATATCATTTTATTAATAAACTCGATGCTTCTTGACTCAGGAGGAGAAATGAGCCTAAATCAACACAGCATCCATCCTCTCCAAGCTCAGCGAGAGAAAACACGCTCACCCCAGCTAACAGGGTGATGCTTACAGAGCCTGCTCCAGCGCAGACGCCTCGCAGACAGGCGTGTGCCGATCCTCACCGCTTCCTCTGGAGCAGAGGAGTGCTGCTATTTCTGTACTGCCCAGCTGGAAACGAAATGTTGAAGTGTCTTGCTTAGAGAAGCCGTGTTAGAAATTGGTGTCAGAGCCAGACTGCCGGGTTTTCCTTTCTTGTGGCCTGTCAGACCTTGCAAGAGTCGCACGTGGAGACTCGTGTGCGCTCAATAAACACTCGCTTTGCGACGTTCCTCTCTGATCCTCAGCCTGATTTTGCATTGCTTTTTAGCACTCTTCCCACCCCGCTTTGGCTGCAGCAGGGGAGAGAGCCGTTGTCCGCGGGGTGCCAGCGTTCGCTGTGGTGGTTCCTTCGGGCTCTGCGACCGCTCCCGGCAGCGCCGTGTGCCTGCATTCCCAAGGGCTGCGGGGCAGTCTGTGTGTGAAGGGGGGGATGCTCGCTCATCCCGTGCCGCGGCTGCTTTCCTACTTAACAGGGTGACTCTGGTGTCTGTCTTCAGATTACGATCCCTCGAGGAAGCGACGGGTTTGGCTTCACAATCTGCTGTGACTCCCCAGTCCGTGTGCAGGCAGTGGACTCCGGTAAGAGATCAGATCATTTTTATCCATCTTGGTTTGAATGAGTGACTCTGTTCCTTTTTAGCTTCCCAGAGCATGTTGAGATTCAGAAGCTCCCCTGCCTTGCAGGGCTCTGGTTACCTCCAAGAAACTTCGCTTAATGAATTCTCAGTTGCCTCTAATGAGGTCAGCGCTGTGTCACTGTTTTGGCAGAGTGTTGCAGTAGTTTGCAGAGATTTTGTTCCTTTCCCTCTCCAACCTGAGAGCTGTCAGGCTGTTTGGGAGACCTACGGAAAGCATCTGTGGCGGGGGGGGCAGGGGCACAGAAGACAGCAGGATCACGGGAGCCCTCGGCTGCCTGACCAGATCCCCTTGCTGCGGACCTGTGGGATGGATTGATGTCTCTGCTGTATCCTGGTGCTCCCCCCTGCACACCAGGAAACGCTGGAAGTTCGTGCAGTAGCTCTGAGAGAGCACTTCTGACTTTGTCCCAGCGCTGTGTGTGCGTGAGTGCCTGCATGTCAGAAGGTGAAGCTCCAGGCTCAGCTGGCCCCACTTCATTTTCAAGTGTGGATGTTAGGGGAAACAGATCTGGGTTTGGAGGAGTGAGTGGTGCAAGCTGTGAAGCTGTGCTCTTTGGGTGTCCACCAGCCCCAGGGCTTCTCCCCCCTGCCATACTCTCAGCTCTCTGTCTGGTGGGTGACTGGCATCTGTCTCTTCTCCGTAGGGGGCCCAGCAGAAAAGGCCGGTCTGCAGCAGCTCGACACGGTGCTGCAGCTGAACGAGCAGCCTGTGGAACACTGGAAATGTGTGGATCTGGCGCATGAAATCCGGTGAGTATTCACCCAAAGCACCAGTGCAGGGGTCTGGGAGAGGCCATTCGAGAAAGCCTGGGGCAGGGGAGCAGGAGCTTTGAGTGGCTACAGGAAGGGGGAGGCTTTGAGTGATGCAGGAGACTGGGAAAGGACTCTCTGGAGTGGAAGAAGGAAGGCTGCAGGGGCTGGGGAGGGCAGGACAGGGGCAGAGGCGTTAGAGGGAGGAAGGACTGCAGAGCTGATGGCTGGCTGGGAGATGTGGGGCGCCTCACTCCCTGCTACCATCGCTGACTGGCCCCGTGCCATCTCTTCCAGTAACTGTCCCACAGAGATCATACTGCTGGTCTGGAGGCTCGTCCCGCAGGTCAAGTCAGGACCTGAAGGCATGATCCGCAGATCGTCCTGCAAGTCTGCCTATGACCTCCAGTCGCCACCCAACAAGCGGGAAAAGAACAGCACCGTGCCCCCGCGGCCCGAGCAGCGCCGGAGCTGCCACGTACTGTACGATGGGAGCGACGGGCTGGTGCTGAACAGCTGGGAGAGGTACACGGAGATCGGCAAGCTGAGGCAGAACACCATGCCACCGCTGTCCCGGGTCCCCTCTGCCGCGGACCAGAACTACATCATCTTAGCGCCCTTGAACCCGGGAAGCCAGGTAGGGCTGCTCTCCAGCCTCGCGCTCCAGTTACTGCATGTGGCTGTTGGCTGTGCTTGCTGGATCCTCTCTTGGCCGTATCGAGCATCATCTCTAGGTGTTTGCTGGAGCACATACCAGACCTGTGTCCCTCAGAGCATTTGCTATTTTTCTAAAACACTTACCACCAGGACTGTAGAGCCGGGGTGAATGACCTCCTACCCCCTCCCAGGGCTCACTCAAGGGGTGCGGGTGGAGGGAGCATGTCCACTGCGTCCACCACAGTGCAATGCTTTCATTTTCTGCTGGCAATAGGGCAAAAATGATTCTCATCTCTCTGGAGCGCGTTGGCTTTGCTGGGTTTAGCATGCTCAAATTTGCAATTGGTTGTTGTAAAGTCTATCTCAAGCCTACTGCAGGTGACTGTGTCCTTTCTGGGTTGTGTCTTACAGCTGCTGAGGCCTGTCTATCAAGAGAACAACGCTGCTGGGGGTAAGTCGCCAACATGCTGAAAACGCTGACAGAGCACCTAGCAGAGCTAAACGTGGTCTTCCTAGCGCTGTCAAATCCTTGCCCTTGGCCCTGCAATGGAGTCCCACCCATTTTGAGGACAGTGGCAGAAGCCTGGGGCTTTTGGGTAATATAATGTTCCTCCTCTCTGTGTCAAAAGCAAGAACCCAAGCCCAGAGGAGAGCACGACTGCCAGCATCACTGGATGGGCCTCGTGGTGAGGAGGTCTCTGTGGGAGCTCGTGGAGTGGCTGAAGGAGGCTGGTGGCAGGGACACGATGAAAGTGTGGAAGTGCTGAGCGTTGTTGTTTTGGCGGTTCCCCAGAGGAGTCCGTGGGCCTGTCCATGGCAAGTTTTACTTCTTGTGCGTGATGCTGTGGTAGGGGAGTGCTAATACTGTGGCCCCTGCTTTGAGATTCATTTTGTTACTAAGGGAGCGAGGGTGGCCCTGACTTGGGTTCCTACAAACAGTGGTGCAGGTTGGAGTGCCACGTTTGAGGAATGCTCATTTCCTGGGCTGCTGCAAGGTCTTTGGCAGTCTCTGGATCAGCTCTCCTCTAAAACCCTTTGAAGTATAAACTCATTTTCTGCAACAGGTATGCTGGGGTCTTTCTGGAGAACCAGGTATGGCTGGGCTTGCAGGAGGAGTGGGACGAGGTGCATGGCAGGGCTGGGGACTGCAGGAGTCCAGGTCCGTACAGAAACACGCTTCGCCTGCTCGTTGATTTGGGAACTTTGAGAAGTCCATGCTTGCATCCTGCTCTGTCAGGATGCCCTTAGCTGTGCGTCCGTAGCCGAGCTGACCTCCTAGGCATGATCTTGCAGGAATGTCTTTAACTCAGCAGTCCCTCCCTGGTGCAGGCACAGCTATCGGCACGATTTCCAGCTGGAAAATTTTGTCCTGCCTGTGAAGGAAGGGCAGTGTCCATAGCAGGCAAAACGTAGGGCTGGCAAAGCCATGGTGGGGATGTCGGGGTGCAGGAGGGAGCAGCATGAGTCTGGGGCCCCTGTGCCTTGGATGCTTCCAGCCCCGGAGCTCTGTGTCCAGAAGAATTTTCCGTAGCTCAGCTGCAGGGGATGTTTTGTACCGTGGATAAATGCAACTCTTTCCTGCTGTTTGAAGATCTGTGAAAAGATGAGCTGGACCATGGGGACTTGTTCTTACAGCAGGGTGGAATTTGAAAGACTCGGGCTTCTTCTCATAACAAACTTTAGTGATTGCTTTTGGTTTATTTAATACTAAGTCTTTAGAGGGAAGAAGGCGTTAATTAACCCGAGCAGTGATTAAGCGCGGCGGTGCGGAGCTGGCCACCAGTCACCCAGTGACAGGAGCGGGCGCTTCAGGCAGGCTGGATGCATTTCTGCGCCAGCGTGCAGAGAACAGGACTTGTGCAGGTGATGAATTCCTCTGATAAAATGAGGTGATTTAGGGAGAAGAGGAAAAGCAGCGCCTGAACAGCCCAGACAGTTTGTGTCTGTCTTGTGTTGAGCTGTCTCTCGTGCTTTGATTTTATCTGGCAGAGCAACTATGAAGAAGGGGAAACAGAAAATGTCAGGATTATTGCACTTAGAGGTGGAAACAGCCTTTTAGGTCACGAGGGCCACCCCCCTGCAAGGGCAGGCTGTTAAAGCAAGCGGTAAACAGCAGGTCTGCATTGCCAACAGAGCGCGGTCTGGCTCTGCTGGCGTTCATCTGAAAGTAAACGTGCTATTTCCTAATAATTAATGGAATATGTAATGTTGAGTAGGTTCGTATATTTGCTTTGGACGAGACCTTATCTGCTCTGAGCCATGTTCAGAAGTGTTTTGGCTCGTTTCTGCTTGGGAAGGTTATGGGTATCCGTTACAGTGCAGAGGCAGAAGCCACTGTGCAGGAAGCTGCTGGGGGGGGGGGGAGCAGAAACTCCTGGGGCTGGGTGGCTGGAGGGAGGGGTGCTGGAGGGTCTCTGCTGGGACACCCCGCTAGCAGGGAGCTGCGGAGGGTTTGCTCGTGCATGTTGCTGCGATGTGGCTGTGGGGAAGAGTGGCTTAATGCTGTAGCTTCTCACCTGGATATATTAAAATCCAGCTGGCGAGGTCTGCCTGCTGGACCCGAGCTGTCTTTGTTCCTCAGCTTCGGGAGGCAGGAAGGTAGTACTTTCGTTTTTCAGTGGGGCTTCTTTTGAAGAAGGCATAAATTTTTGGTTAGACAGACATTCAGTTCCTGCTGGAGTTGTTGCCTGTGAGTTTTAGGACAGAGCAGAGGTTGGTGGTGCCCAGCAGGACATGGTCTGGGGTTAAGGGCTCTTGGAGAACGTGGACCTGTCCCACCTTCTCTCACCAGCATGGTAGATGCTGCTGCTTCTGCTGTGATGGGAGTTTGTGTATGGCAGGAGAGATGTGCACTGTGGGCCTGGGGACATCAGGGATGGCCAAAACTGTACGCTGGGGTCACCAGAGAATGCCCAGGCCCTTTGGATTCATGTCATTAATGGGAAATATTTCACAGCTGCTCCCTGCTCGGCAGCCAGGCTGTCCCAGCCCACCTGAGAGCAGAGCAGCCCAGCAGGCAGCAGCTTGGCAGATCCTTTCTGGTTCTGGTCCCACTGTTGGTCTCATCCTGGCTCCATGTGGTGGGTCTGGGCAGGAGCATGGACAAAGCCATCCTTAGCACCGCTGCTTCCCGCAGACCACCCACTGGTTGTGTGTGCAGGCACCAGCTCCCAGCAGCCTGCGATGCTTTCGCCTCGTTGCGCTGCTGCTGAGGAAATGGTAGATCCAGGAAATGCTCTATCCAGGCAGAGCATCTTCAGAGCACCCCATGTCCTGTGCCTGCAGTCGCGAGACAAAGTGCTGGTGGGAACCTGCTGGAGGTATTCAAACACGTTCCTCTGGGCTGGGAGGACAGGGCTGAGAAAACCTATGGAGAAGTAATCGCCTGGCAATAGGGGAAGGAAGGACTCACCCACGCCGCAGCTAGCAGGGAACAATGGTAATTGTTGATAATTATCAATAATGCTTTTAATCACAGGGTTATCAATTACATTAGAGATTCTGGGACTGGTTTGACTTACTGCCTAACGTCTCCTGGCCTCTGGCGATGCAGACTGGCAGGGGGGGGGGGGGCGCAGTAGCTGGCGTTGGCTTGTTGGGAAACGCTGTAGCTCTGCTGAGCCAGCTGAGGTGGAAGGCTGCAGAGGAGAGCTTCTGTGTAATCCCTCCTTGGAAGGAGGAGAACAGCTTTCTGAGATGAAGAGGGACAGAGCGAAAAACTCATCGGGCTGCTCAGGCATTTTCCAGCAACAACATGTAATGCTGAAAAACAGTGGATGATGTGGTGCCAGCCTCATGCAAAATGAGGTCATCCTTTATAAATACGCCCCCGTGTCTGAGTAATCATCACATCCCTGGGAGCACTTCGGAAAGGCATGGATTGATCCCATGTGCATGAATGTGTTTATCGCTTCGGTCCCTTTCCCTGCCACCTCCAACCTTAGTATCCTCTAACACCTGTGATTAACCCGCCACCCAGTGCCCCATCATGTGAAATTCCTGCACCATGCGAACTCCTGTGCCCAGAATTCAGAGCAGGCAGAACTTGTGCAAATAAAGATGTCCCAAGGTTTAAATTTCCCCTGGGTTTTTTTTCCCCTCACCCTGAGTTAGTCGCAGATGGTTTTTCCTTCCCTGGAAAGGGAAGGGTCACAGTTCAGTGGTGCAGGCAGGTGTTCCCAAGTGATGGGAACCTCCTTGGTGCTCCTGTGATTCAGGAATGACCATCTGAAGTCATGTTTGGGGTTGTTCTGTATTTATTATTTCGTAATTTCAGTACTGCATGGGGAGGTGAGTACAATAGTACCCCATCTCTTTCTCCAGAGTATCCTATTCAGAAATTGCGCAGAGGCCAGCGTACATCCAAACAGAGATGGACGTGCTGGCCTGCGGCTGAGCTTGCTGTGACTTCTTTGGGTTTCCGTTTGTATGCACAGTGATGTGTTTGTGCTGCTGGTGTGATCCGGTGAAGTCCTTGGTCCAGCAAGCAAGTAGTTCTTGGATGAGCAGAAATGTCAAGGGACATCTCATTTTGCATTAGGAAAAGTGAAGTCAGTGGTGTTATTTCATGAATCCCTAGGAAACTTTGACAGCAGGGTGATGACTGTCCCTGCAGCGCTCGGCTCTGCGTGCCCTTCGGCTCTGCCTGCCCCCTCCAGCCTGCCACAGCAGGAGCCGAGCCGGCAGCGTGCAGCCGCTCTGCGGGAGCTCCCTTCTGATTCTGAGTTTCTTTCTGCTTCCCCCGTTGGTCCAGGAAACGCATGCAAAGGGAAATCGCACACGGGGTCTGGGAGAAAATCCAGGCTGATGAAGACTGTGCAGACGATGAAGAGCTACGGGAACTACCAGAACTGCACCATAGTGAGGCCGCACATCCCGCACTCCAGCTACGGCACATATGTGACGCTGGCTCCCAAGGTGCTGGTGTTCCCCGTCTTCGTGCAGGTAAGGGCAGCTGGCAGCGAGGTGTTACAGATCTCATGCAATCGCTGCCCAGCACTTGCTGCTGTTGGTCGGGTCCAGGCCGTCGTGCAGGGGGGATGTATTTCCCAGCAGTATCTCCCGTGAATTCATGGATCCCCTGTCATCCTCAGCTCTCTCCTCTGGAGCTGGCTCTACTCAGCACAGCGCTGGGTGCTTTTCTCAAAGGGAATTGTGTCCTGCGATTCTCTGTTGGAGTTTTTTTTCCCTTTTCAGCTTTCAGATCTGGTCCTCGGGTGCTTGCTTGAGTCAGGAGAAGGTATCCCAGCCTCTGGGCTTTGGCCACCAGTTCATCAATGTGGTTTATTCCTGTGGGTTCTTTGTGCTGTAAATTGTAGTGTGCAAACAAAGAATTTTTTTTAAATTTTTTTTTTAAATTTAGCTGGTGGCCAGCACTAAAACAATGGGCAAGGATCCAGAGCATAACGGCTGGGCAGAGGAAGTTTTCACTCCCCAGTTCCACAAATTATTTTCTTAAAACTTAGCCCTGAATTGGGCAGTGGTAGCTCTAACTACCTCTGTGTCTTCCATTTTGCCCTTCATATGGCCAGAACCCCAGAAAACCTCATCTGGTCCTGTATGTTTAAGCAGGCTACTGATGAATGTCTTCGTCAACTCTTTACCATGAGGGTGGTGAGGCTGCACCCTCCCAGGCAGGGTTCAAAGCCAGGTTGGACGGGGCTCAGAGCAACCTGGCCTAGTGGAAGGTGTCCCTGCTCATGGCAGGTGGGGTGGAAGGAGATGATCTTTAAGGTCCCTTCCAACCCAAAGCATTCTGTGATTCTGTCTCTGAGACTGTGGGGAACCACCCATCCTCCCCTGCTAGCAGCAGCGACACTGTCATGTCAGCTCAGACTGGTGACTTCCTTTGGGCTCAAACCCATGATCCATGTGGTCCGAGGGAGCAGACTGCCTGGGGGCAGATGTGGGGCTGGGGGGAAGGCTGATGCTCTCCTCCGTCCTCCCCCACGGCACCTGGGTGGCCGTTCATGTCAGCACCAGAGCATCCCCCAGCCCTGCCTGCGGGCACGGTTTGACTTTTGGCAGGAACACGACTGGCGCTTCTGGCTCTTTACTCCCAAAACTTCTGTCTTGGATTGAGTCTGGGGTGTTTCTGCCGCTTCAGGAACTGGTTTTCGTCTCGCACGGGGAGGCCGCTGTGCAGGCAGCCTCATGTGCCTGCCGTGCTGCTCCAGAGGACTGTCCTGGGCTGGTTTTGCAGGGTTTGTTCTGCAGCCCGGACAGCTGAACCCGTCCCGTTCTGCTCCAGCGTCGGGCAGGGAAGGCGCTGACCGGGGAGCTGAGCGTGCAGCGTGGCGTGAGAAGGGGCAGCCTGCTGAAAGTCGCTTTAATTTACTGCGAGAGCAGGCCATAGAACCATGTAGCAAATATTCTGGTCTGAGGGACGTGAGAAGCTAACGTGCCGTGTTGTGGTTGTGTTTCCTGCTAAAAAGCGCCCATAAGCAGGCTCGCGTGGTGCGGAACAGTTAGCATACAAAGAGGCAAGCGGCTGATGTTCTTTTTATAGCTGGGTCTGATGCAGGCGTGAAGTTTAAGGCTTTCTTTTTATCGTGTAGCTGGACTGCAGGCTTTCTGTCCTTCTGAGCTCAGTGTGAGCTGGCTTCTCCCTGAATGAGTTGCAGCATAAAGTGAAGACAAAGTGGGTTTGGTGGGTGGAAAGTTTTTCTGGCAAACCACACTTCCAGTGGAAGGTTTGACTGTTTCTTTCTTTTTGTCTCTTTTTTTTCTTCTTTTTTCTCCTTTTGAACATAGCCCCTAGATCTCTGCAACCCAGCCCGGACTCTGCTTCTGTCAGAGGAGCTGCTGCTTCACGAGAGCAGAAGCAGGACCATACAGGTAAGACTCTGTCCATGCTGCCTGAGCTTTTGGAACACGCTCTTCTGCACTCTCATATGGTAGATTGAGATTGGAAATGTTTTATTCTGAGGTACTTAAATTAATAAGATATTTGGAAAAATTTGTTTATCACGGGGATAAACTAAATATCAAAACTCTGCTAGAAATCAGCTTTTTTCTTGTCTTCCTTCATGCTCACAGAGAAGAAGCTGCGCGTGGCAAACGCATGGCGGTCACAGCCCAGCAGCTGAGGCCACTGGCAGACTCGGAAAGAGGGAGTTTAAGAATATTTTGTGGCAGGTTAGAGAACCAGACAGAGAACTTCTTACAGGCGTTTTCAGAAATTTAGTTCCTGAAACAGGTCACATGTCCAGATTCTTCTCTTTTTTTCTTACTTCAGCTTCTTTTCTGCAGTGTTATCAGAGGGCTGTTAAAAATCCGGGAGACGACCAAGCTTTGGCTACGTGTTGAGCCAGTGTGCGTGACAGCTTTCGACATCCAAACTGGCAGAGTTTGGAGGTGTTGATTGCATTCGCTGCGTCCCGCGGTAAAGCCTGCAGAGCCCTGGGATTTGGGCCGGAGGAAGCAGCAGCGGGGAGAGCCCACTCCTGCGTTGCTCACCAGTGCTGGAGGGAGCTGCTGTTTCTGTTGGGGCATTTTCAGAGACTCTCACCACTGCACAGAAGAACTTTAGTTTGAATTTAGTTGGAGGAAGCAATGCGTCATCTTCACAGGGCCAGAAAGGAATTTTTACTTGACTAATCTTTGTTTCTGGGTAACACCTTCTGGGTGGCCAACAGCAGAATCCCAGAGGCATGTCATATCACTGGCCTGCACAAAACAGTACAAGACTCTGTCACGTTAAGTGACTCCTCTCTCTTTCTGGTTTTCAGTGTGTAATTCATCCCTTGCTTTGACTTGAATCACTATTTCCCCCCCCTCCCCCGCACCTAAGTACATGAAAAATTGCATGATCAATTAGGAAATGTGGCGCTGATTTTTAAGTAAAACTTTTCCCGTGTCCGTCCTGCTGTTCTTTGTTGCTCAGGGTCTTCTGGGCACCCGCATGAATGAAAATCAGGTCGACACAAGGCTGTGTAGCACAGCTGTGCTGTGATGGCTTGGGAATATGGTGGTCAGCCTGAAGTCAGTATGCTTCTCCTGGGTGGTTTGGCGTTGCTTGCTTTCAGGTCAGACTTGGAGGGCTGTAGTAAGAGCCAAATGTGGAATAATTGTGGATAACTAATGCCCTTTGCATGCTGGGTGGAGCGTGTGTGTGTGTGTGTGTTCATACTTAGATGATGGAGAGCCTTGGGACAAGCGTGTTTGGAGGACGTGTGCAGCTGTCTCCAAATGGCCACGCTGGCCACTTCAGAGAGAGACCCAGCTGTGAGCAGGGTCACAAGGACAGCGTCTCAGGGAAAGGACTCTGCTTACGATGCCGTAAGGATGAGCGTGAGGCTGGAAGAGGATTTCCCAGTTGGAGCTACTGCCAGGAAGGGCAGGATGCTGTACACCAGCCAGGAATGTGAGACAGCGTTTGAGAATGGTGGTGCCTTGAGGCTGCGATGTCTGTGTAAGCCTGGCAGAGGAGCAAGGCAAGAGATTGTGACTTAAGCGTAGTGAAAAAAATAGAAGCAGCAAACGGGAACAAGCGTGTGGCAGCATTGGCTTTGGAAGGCAGGAGTCTTTCCCTTGGTGTGAACCCAGGCGTGGTGCTGAGCCCCATCTTGCTGGGAGGTGGCAGTTGTAGGTAGCAACACCGGGATATCAGCCATGTCCCTGGGGAAGGGTTTTCTCGTGTCTGCAGTGTGTCACGGGGTCACGGCAGGCTTTGCAGAGCTTCAAGGAATCAGTGCAGGTCTATCTGGAAAGCCAGAGACTGCCCTTCTCCTGCGCAGCAAGGGTGTCTGCTCTGGTCCTGATGGGCTGTGAGGTAGGAGAGCCTAAACTTCTGAAGCCAGCAAGACCTAAAGCGGCCTGGACACAATGGAGCTTCCCCTGTGATACCTGTAAATGTAAAATTTCCACTTACCAGAGTCATTGTAATTAAACTAAACTTGATCCTTGCTGTTTTGAGAAGACACGGCATCACCTGGTACAGAAGGGCTTTGACTTCTCTTTTTGCTGGACTTGAGCTCGCTCTCTCTCCAGCCTCCTCTGCTGCCCAAACAGAGGCCATCCCGTTTCCAGTTGGTGCTTTCTTCCATGCTCCATGTGGTTTTCCATTTTCCCACTGCTCTTCCCACCCATCCTCTCTCAAACTGGACCACTGCTCCTGGGGTTTGCAGGGCTGTTCTCTGCATCATGTTCTGCTTTGGCTAAGTGGCTTGCGAGGAGGGCCCAGGTGCAGGGGCTGGAGGTGGAGGTCTTGTTCCATTTTTTTCTTTTTCAGAAAACTGGAATTTTTTCCCCTTGGCAGTTTCCACACCAGGCACTGCGTCCTCGTCACTGAGCAAGCTCTCTCCCATCTCCTGAAGGAGTCAACCTATCTCTCTGGAGGCTTGCCAGGATCTGTCCTTTCCCTGACCTTACCTCTGGGGCAATCCTTATTCAGGCCTTAATCACATCCTGTCTAGACTTTGTTGCAATTCCCGCTTTTACAGTCTTCTGAAATCCCTCCAGCCCGCAGAGTGCCAGAGGAACAGCGTGATGCAGGTGATTGCACACAAGGTGTCCAACATGGGCTTTGTCCTTGTCAGTCTGTCCCTAATGTTGTACCTGGAGGCAACTTTCCAAAGCCCTGAGGTACCTTTGCAGCGTGGGCCGTGCTCACCCCTTCTCAGCTCTCTTTTCTGCCATCTTAGATCGGGATGGTCCTCCCTTGAGCTCTGAAAGCGCCCAGCTCTGCCAGGAGCCTGGAGGACACGGACCAGCATGCCCAGGTTTTATGTTCTTCTCTGTAGGGCAAGAGGCTTTTCTTCCTTGTCCCAAGTGCTGCACTGCAGGTTCCCAGCACTCCTGGCTTGGGATGGGGTTGCCAGCTCCCTGTTTCAGTGCGTGGCTGAGTTTGGCCAGCACAGTGGGTTGACCAAAACCCTACTCCTTGGCACAGATGTATCAAGATCTTGTTTTCAGCCTTTTTTAGACACTTTAATTTGGGTGAGAATATGATAAAAGTGCACTTACCTCCTCCCTCCACCACACTAGTCCCACTTACGCTGTCCCTTCTTCTTTCTGTCTCTTAATATCCTTTACTTCCTCATTTTTTTTACACCATTTCCCCATCTACACATGTTTAAAGGTAGGTACATGATCGCTTGAGGTCTTCAGTGCCTTCTCTCCTCTGATGTTCATGGTAGGAGAATATTTGATTCAGGTAAGCAAAGATGAGGTTCAAGGTTGACAGCTAAAGCCTTTGCTGTGGATCTCCTTTTGGCAAGTGTGGTGGTGGGTTTTCGTCAAAGTCTAGCTAAGCGTATAAACTCCTTCCTGAGCATTCAAATTCCGTGCCAATAATCTTGGCACAAAAAAACGTGTGAGATGGTAAAAGAGGGTAAATGGACTGTGGGCTAAAACACTGCCGAGAAGTCTCAGAAAACATGCATTTAATATGAATACGTGCAGAAGTAAAAATTCCGGAGCAAAGGAGCAGGTCATGCTTAGAGAGTTAGGGCTGTGTAGCATGGAAAGCAACGACTCAAAGGCTTCAGTGTATCAGTGAAGGTTGGTAAGGTTTCCCTGACCTGGGAAGTTCATGCCTGTCTCCGAAGTGCCGTGCCTGTGTGTGTGCACCTACCCCACCTGCAAAGCCCAGGCTACTTCTCTTTTTAGACTGGGGCTGGGCTGGCTGAGATGCTAATGTACGAAGCTGTGGTAACTGGATTACTTTGAATCACGTTCTCCTGTTGCTCTGGTCTCTGTGAAAATTCAGTAACTGCCAGTGCAGAGCCATAGCCAAGAAAGCTGCGACTTTGAAGGATATGATCAGGGGAGCACTGAACAGGAGGGACTGGGTGACATCGCCCTGTATGTGGGGGTCTGAGTCCAACAGTGATGTCTGCTTCATCGAGGGTCCTGGAGTTTGGATGGTCTCACAAGAGGGCTACAAGGATAAATCAAGATCTGAAAAAAATGAGGAAGATCAAGAAAGCTTCATCCGTTTAGTTCAACTGTAAATGAGTGGGGACACATGAACTCCGCAGATACAACCCTCATGCTGGTATCACTGGAGTTTCTTTTAGGGGTTGCACCCAATTCTTCTGGAGAAGAGTCCAGTACTGGTAAAGAGAAAATGTGTGTGGATCAGTCCTAGGGGTGGATATCTGTCTGAAGAGCTCCCCACCAAGGATTATAGGATTTCTCCAGGCAGCTGCAGGCAGCATTCTCTGGCCAGCGATGCACGGGGTCATCGCTATGTTCTCCTTTGGCAGCTGAAAGCTCCATCGTAAATGACCTGCCCCTGCTTCGCTCTGCTTCCTCAGTTCCCCCTGTTTTGCTGGGCACAGGTATGAGATGGTTGCTGGAGAGAGAGAGGGCGATGTCTCGGGAAGCATCCACCAGCTCAGGCTTCTCCTGCCAGGCACTGGGATGAGCTGGCAGGGTTTGCACTGGTCCCAGTGCCAGTGTCCCTGCTGATGCACCGCTGCACCTGCAACGTGCAAACTCCTCCCTGCCGTAAGGTGGGTGGCAGAGGCTCCCTGAGCACCCGTGAGCAGGAGAGGATGGGTTAGGAGGAGAGTTAACCATTCTTCAGCTTGAATGGGAGGGTGCTTTGGCTGCAAGGCTTGGTTTCTGGGCACCTTTTGGTCATGTTTTTGTTGCCGTGTTTTGCTTTACGAGGCGTGGTTATCGCTTCTTCCTGCGGTGGGGCTCCGTAGCAGGCCCAGCGCTGAGCTCCTGTTCTCATCTTGGGGAAGCACGCTCACCCACCGCTTCCCCCCTTCCCTCCTGGCTTTCATTTTCTCTTGTTTTCTTTTAGGAAACACTTTAAACGCGCCCCTTCCTTCGGTAGCAGTGCTTTGCTGGTTATGTTCTTTAGTTATTGAAGTCTGTCAGCCGAAGAGGCTTTGCTATTTGCCGTCATGCAGAGCACACCGTGTCCAAGACATCAGTGTCGGCCTCTACGAACAATTTTTTTTCTCCCTCTAAAATCTGTTCACATCTGGTGGATTCTGTGTCTCACCTGGATGAATTCAGGCACTGTGTTTCTTTTTTGTTTGCTCTTTTGCTTTTACGAGCCCTGCGCTTTTTCATGGGAGATAGCAGATCTGTTAGCGAAGGGCTGTTAGAGACGTGTTACAGCTTGTGGGCAGTGTGATGGCAGCCCTAGGCAGAGCTCCAGATTACTCACTCCAGCCCTCCCCTCTTCTACCTGCTGGCTGCTGCCTCCCTGTCATCCATGATTCGAGTTTCCCGTGCTCAGCTCTGCGGGTGGGGTAAGTTCTCCGTCCTGCAGAGCCCGTCCTGCTCCCACCTCTGCAGGCAGGGTCTGCTGGAGCCCTGGACCTCGCGGTGCCGGGATGCTCGTGGCAGGCTCCGGCTGTATGGGTGGAAGGGACACCCTCGTTTTCTTCCCCCAGCAGCCTGGAGGTGCAGAGGGACCTCTGCGAACGGTTTTGTGTGGAGCTGCTCTGAAATCAAGTGTCTTGCTGGAAGCAGCATCTAATAGAGATGCTCTTATGAAACCCGCATCTTCTCTGCATCCTGAACCCAATCAGCCCCATCTTCCCATACAAGCACAACGTTGCCTGCAAATACTTTTTGTGTGTTTCTGTTTCTAGGATTCCCTACTTAAATCCCCTTGGTTTT